GAATAGAATAGAATAGAATAGAATAGAATAGAATAGAATAGAATAGAATAGAATAGAATAGAATAGAATAGTTCTACTAACCACAGCTGTTATATACTCCTTGAGGAGCCATGAGTCAAGCAGTGTCCCCCAGATTATGAAGATTATAAAATATCCTGGACTAAATTACAACACCACCACCACCCCCGCAGGGGAATAGATGGCTTCCTAATGCAGTTACTTCATCTTGCTTAGATTAAACCTTTTCGTCATCTTCTGCTGTCCAGGCATCAGGATAGCAATATTACCTGTAGAGCCTCAATTCATAGTATAAAGTAAAGTTCAATATAGAAACTGATAATATTTGAGTAGCATTGATAAATGATTCCTTCCTCCCCCCCGCCCCTCCATCCCCATAGCTTCATTTTGTCATTAAATAACACCATCAAAGGCCTTTAGGCTTGATCTTCTTCTCTACTGGAACCAGTTTAAAGAATATAAGGTAGAATATCCTCAATATAGTTAGTTATATCCTTCCCCTCAGATTACAATGTTGCTGGATTGAAGAATAAGCCATGAAACGGGCTACTGCTCATGTTTCCTTAAATATGACTAGAACCGTGTGCAACTAGAGATTTTGCTTCATCAGCTCTTCCAAACTAATGGGTTCTGCTCACAGTAAAGCAAATGCAGGTATACCTTTTTAATGGTAAGGTTCATTGCACTAACTGTTCAAATTTGGTTACATGAGACTACATTAACAATGATATCCAGAATCCTGCTTTCTTCAGTTTTACAGGTAGTCCTTGCTTAACAACAGGTCACTTAGAGGCTTTTCAAAGTTACACAGATTCCACAAAAGCTACTTGGGCTATTTCAAAGTTACAGCTGCTGCAGCTTCCTCACATTCATCCTTACAATCTCCTATAGGAATTATGCGGTGCCCCTTGCCTCTCTCCCCTCCCCCAATCCCTCCCTGCTGGATCCCACAGCCCCTGGGCCCTCTCCCCACATGCCCATCAGCATTATGCACACCTTTGGAAGATCTCTGGCCCTGATGTTGGAGAAGGAGGGCAACTGTCTCTGGGTTGCATAGCTATCTCCTGAAAGTGGCCATCATTTTCAGCACTTACTTCAAAATAGGTACTTCGTTGAAAGGAATACGATTGTTGAGATTACTTTTCTCAAATGAAGTAAGAATTTTTGTTATATTCTGTCAAGAGATAGGTAATTGTTTCTAGAGGCAGAATGTAATTTTTCTAGTGTAGACTTGCATACGGAAGAGATCATAATGAGGAAGACCCACTTTGATAAAAAGAATGTTATCAAGAAATCTCATGCAGGAGATGGACAGCAGATATTTATTTGCATAGGAATGTTGTCTTGGGCACTAGAACAATGACTGGTTGATAGTAGAACGTATTTCAAAGATGTGTATTTACCTGATGGACTGAAGTAATTAATTCATGCAGCTAAACATCTATCCCACGATGTAGGTAATTTTCATCCAGATGCTTTACAATTCTAGCCTACTTGAATCAGGGTTGATTTTTTATCTCCAGGTATTCCTTGTGCTCGTCCTCCTGTAATTGCCAATGGAAGATTTGATCCCAGTCCTTCAGATGTATATGAGGTTGGCTGGATAGCAATCTATCGGTGTGATGCTGATTACTCCCTTATTGGAGTTTCTACTATTATATGTGTAGTTGCAGAAAATGGTATAGATGGAAAGTGGAATTTGCCTTCACCTGAATGCAAAAGTAATGGAATTTTATGTTCTTTTCTTTACTTTCAGACTGTAAAATTGTTTCCCTTTCCCCCCCATTTGTTAAGTATTTCTTTGTTGTAATCTGGTAAACTTGTCTGTTAAACATTAGGCTGCTGTGGATTACAAAGTAGGAATTATCCATCTGAAACTAGTTCTCACAGGGGAGTATTGAAAGAAATGCAAACATAGTTTGAATAATTTATTCTATTGCTTGTATTCCGTTTTGGTAATTATCCCTTTGAGCTCGATTAGCATTATTATATTATTTGTTAAGGAGTGTCAAACTCAATTTCATTGATGGCCACATCAGGGTTGTGTTTGACCTCAGGGAGCCAGGGTGGGCATGGCCAGAGTGAACGTGGCCAGCTTGACGTCACTCATGTCTGTGGTGCGTGTGGTGTCTGAGTGCTCTGCCTGTGAAAACAGTCTCCTGAGCTCCATTTTCTGCTGCCACGGTCTCCTGCAACCCTCTGCCAGCAAAAGCAGAGCTCGCATGCAGCCCTCCCAAACTCCATTTTCACTGGCAGAGGATTGCAGGAGGTTGTGGCAGTCAAAGCACCGCGGTCCAGTCCTTCCCTATTTTCAAGGTGGCCCCGCAGGACAGATCTTAATACCCTGTGGGCCAGATGCGGCCCCGGGGCCTTGAGTTTGACAGCCCTGTGTTAAGGGGACAATAAAAATAATTTAATTTTGTTTCCCTCTAGTACTAAGGTAAAACATTGGGCAATTTCTTATAATCTAACGAGATGTTTTCCCATGCCAAGAGGACTATGTGCCTTAATCATAGAAAATAAATCTTACTTCAAACCCAAGTCATTTAAAAAATAATCAGGTTTCATATTACTTTAAAATCACTTGATAACTGCCTTCAATGACTTTTGGTTGCATCAGTGTTTTGTAGATTATTTATAACTACTATAGTTATAGCTCAAGTGTAAGTTTGTGAACTGACATGTTTTGTTCAGGTATTTGAAGCTGCAGGTAATTAGCTTTGTGACCATTTCATCTTGTTCCATGCAAATCCTGCAAACAAGGGGCAGCTGTATTAGATAGCTATTCTTTTTGGCCAAAGCTAAGCAAATAATGGCTTCCAGCCTTAAGATCCCTGGTTATGGCAGCAAAACATAATTACATCATGTGGTGGTGCCACTATATGCATGCATGCCACCATTATGTCCTTATTTCCTATTCTGTGACAGAAGTATATAACTTACAGCGTTTGTGTAATGATAATATCATGGCATACTTTTTCATTTCCCCTTCATGAAGCCAGCTGGTTTTTGATGCAATATTTGGTGCAAACTAAACATTGATTTCTTTTCTAGAGGTCAAGTGCCCTAGACCAAGCATCCCAAATGGAAATGTGACAAGTGTGTTTCAAGCTACATATACGTATCAGGATAATTTAGAGATTGAATGCAATCCTGGCTACACTTTGTTAGGATCTTCTTCAATTCAATGCAACGCTGATAGTCAATGGAAACCATCTCTTCCAGTGTGTGATAAGAGTAAGTAATGTTTTTTAAAACTTTGTTGAACATCAGTGTTGAAAACTTTAAAGTTGAGCATCCTGGGTCTGGAGAAAACTACATAAACATTTTCCCCTCTCTTTTTGTGTAGTCCCTACCACTTCCAAACCAACCAAACCCCCCACACCTGCTGTTCCTTCTACTCCCCCAATTCCCCCTAAGCCTGGCACTGTTTCACCAAAAGAAGATGGCACTGAAGGTGAGTCATCACATTACTGGATTGCTAATCACAACCCCTTTTCAGGGTTTAGATCGGTGGTGCAATTCAAATATTGTTGCCACTGGTTCGGTGGGTGTGGCTTGGTGGGCGTGCTTTGCATGTGTGCACACACTTTGTGTGCACTCATGCAACAAATGCGCACTTTGCACAGGCGCAGAAGCGTTTTAACTCGCCTCCTCCAATCCTGCACAATCCCGGTCACTTCAGCAACTGCCGCGCAGCACTATTCTGTGCCGCGCAAAGCAGCTGCACTTCAAATTCATTGGATAAAGGTGAGTATGGGAGCCTGGGCAGGTGGGTGGGCCAAAATCTGCTGCTCATCGCTCCTCCCGGTTCTCCAGAACCAGGCAGAACCAGTCGATTGTCACTACTGGTTCAGATGTTTGGTCTTGGAGGAAAGATCCTATAGCCACAACTGTGTTATCTTAACTGCTTTCCATCCTTTTCTTGTGCAGCTAATCTACAGAATGGCTTACAACTATGGAGTTGTGCGTACTTGAGGAATATGTTTCATTTCATTTAACAGACTATCATAGTATTTTCTTGCCTTTCGAAAGAAGAATGACATATGCTGAAGTCTCAGAAGAAACTGAGATATAAATCTCCCTTTTGCCCATGGAACAAATATGGACCCCCATGCAGCACTGAGTGTAAACAAAGTATCCTACAGAGTTACTGACTCCACTTGATTATCACCATGATAACAGTAACATCATGCATACTTTCTCATTTGCCCCTCATCAAGCCAGTTGGGTATTTAGTGCAAACTAAACATTTATTTCTTTTCCAGAGGTTAAGTGCCACAGACCAAGAATCCCAAATGGAAGAATAGCAAGTGTGTTTCAAGCTACATATACGTATCAGAATAAAATAATAATTGAATGCAATCCTGGCTACACTTTGTTAGGATCTTCTTTAATTGAATGTGACTCTGATAGTCAGTGGAAACCGTGTGTTCCAAGGTGTGATAAGAGTAAGTAATTTTTCTTAAATTTTTGTTGAACACCAGAGTTGAAAATTTGAAAGATGCACAACCTGGGAGGGTGAAAAATGGGCCTCCCGGAAGTTCTGGAAGTCAGGAAATGGGCCCATTTCTGGCCTCTGGAGAGCCTCTGGAGCTTTCCAGGGGATGCCATTTTCACTCTCCTGGAGGATCAAGGAAAGCCTCTGGAGCCTGGGGAGGGAGAAAAAGCCCACCCCACCATGGTGCAGGAGGCCCAGTAGGCCATGCCCACCATGGCCACGCCCATCCAGCAACTGGGCAGAGAACCGGTTGCTGAAATTTTTGAATACCACCCCTGTATTACACCATGTCATCATTTGTCCCAAAGATACTTTTCAAAAGACAACTGGACTATCTTGATTTTTTTCTTGAAAACGTTCTGCTTCTTATCCAAGAAGCTTCTTCAGTTCCAAACCAAAAAAAAGAAAAAAGAAAGAAAAGCAAGAAAAACAAGAAAGACCTTTTGAAAAGCATCTTTGGGACAACCATGCCCGAGATGATTGAGAATCTCCATAGCCATTCCATCATTTATGTTACAAAAACAAAGCCAAAACCGAGAAGCCATTTGTGATGGCATATGATTCAATAAGTTGCAGATCCACTTTTAGCAGTAATAACATGCAACAATTGTTTGCTGTGTGACTTTATCAGTCTCCCACATCATTGTGGAGGAATTTTAGCCCACTGTTCTTTTCAATATTGCTTCAGTTCTTTGAGCTTTGTGGACTTTTGTTTATGCACACCTCTTTTGAGATCCTGCCATAAATTTCAATTGGGTTGAGGTTTGGACTGACTGGCCCATTGTAAACCTTGGTTCTTTTTTTTTTTTTTGGCCATTCTGTTGGAAATTTGCTGATGTGCTTGGGATCAGCAACAATTGCTTTTCTAAGGTTATTGCTGATGCCATTACTCCTTGGCATTGTGTTAACACATACTTCAATACTAGAGACCCAGCAAACTTGTGAATAATCTTACTCACTGTAGAATAATGGACTTTAAAGTATTTGGAAATGGCCTTATAACCCTTCCTAGATTGATGGGCAGCAACAATCGCTTCTCTAAGGTCATTGCTGATGTTTTTACTCTTTGGCATTGTGTTAACAGTTACCTCAATGTGGGAGACCAGGAAACTTGGAACTTTTTGCTTTTATAGAGGTAGTCACACTTGCTGATGATCAATTGATCAGGGGCACTTGATTAGCCATACCTAGTTGCTACTTAGCCTGTTCCGACATATTGAAGCAGTAAGGGTATACTTACTTTTTCACACATAGATTCTTCTCCCTTTTGGCTTTTTGCAAATAAATGATGACATGGTATGATATGTCATGTGTCGTTCATCTGAGGTTGTATTTACCTACTTTTAAGAACTGCTAAGGACCAGGTGATTTTTAGTATGTTCTGATATGTAAAACAATAGTAGCTGAAGCGGGTATACTTTCTTTGTCATATGACTATAAGTATATTCAAGACATTATAATTCTCATTTAAGAAAGGAAGTTTTCCATTTTTGGAGTTTGTGAACAATTTTGAAAAATATTAGCAATATCTGTTAAAATGTTAGTAGTCAAAGAGAAACCTAGAAAAAATTTCTGATGAAAAACTTTTGGATGAGATACACTTTTGACTTTATCTGTGTAATATTTAGAAATATCCTTTTCATAGTATGCAACACAAAAATATTGTAGACTACAAATATTGAATGATATTTTTAGAGTCTCTGGGCAAGCCTACAGTCCACCAATAGTATTTGAGTTTCTCAGATAACTACATTTAAATTTATTGCCAACAGTTTTTATGTACTATATATTTATAAATCCTTAATATGAGGGGCAGTGGCTAAGTGGCTTAATGATGCTGGAGATGGTCTCTGTTCCAGCAAATCCACCTCCAGCAGGGTGAGTTCCCATCACTTGCCTCAGCTTCTTCCCACTTAATTGTTCAAAAGCATGTTCTATGTGAGTAGTTAAATAGGTACCACTTTGGTGGGGAGACGAGTTGATGCTTCTTAGGTCTGAACTTTCCCAGTTCTGGTGCCCATTTGCAAGGCAGCTCTGGGGAAGGTGAGGGGGCTTGGATGCTGCTGCAAGAAGAGTTGCTTGTCTTTCTTTCTGGTACAAAGCCAGCTCGCTCTCCTTTGGCACACCTTGGGAAGCACGCAAGTGTTTCCTACAACAAAGCTGGTAAATCTACTATTTTGCTATAGCATTGTGGTCCCTGGCTAATATAACAATGCCATATGTTAACAACAATAAACAAAAACAACAACAATCCTGAATGTTTCCAGAGGTATGAATAGGTTAATAGCTGCTAAAAAACAATGCCTGTCTCTTAGTACATAAGATCCTGCTTCTTAAGCCCAAATTTTAAGAATGTTTCTCAAGTATAAGAAGAGCAGAAATTGGAGAAAGGCTAATATAAATCTTTCATTTTGGCAATGAAAGAAAAATAATTTTTAGGTACACCCAAGATTCAGGCTCAGCTAATTTGGCATATGACATTCATGATCTTATGTGGAATAAAAGACATTTCATTTATTTGTTTGTTTCTGATTTCAATTTGTATGGCTCCCCCAATTCAAAATGTCCACTGTTTATTTAGAGATGTGCTCTCTGTTGTTCTTTCAAGTGATCAATTATTATTTCCTTTTTTTAAAATAGAGAAGTCTCTTGAAGATCGGTTGGATATAATTGAAAAAAAACTGGATCTAATTCTTCATATCCTGCAACTAACCAGAGATAGATAAACGATTTGTTAATGATCATTGCCATGAAACCTTATTTCTTTGATATTCCCACAAAATATATGCTTTCTAGTTCTCAACATATATGGTGAGATATTAAATCCAGGAGTGGTAATGAAGTTGGAGAAATGATCACACTTGATTAAAAAATTGTTAATATAGAAGACAAAATAAAATTAGTGCATTTACCAAATCAGTGACTCTAATATTGCTGCTAGATTCACAAACAATCCATTATGTTATCAATGTAGAGTTTACTAAAGAAAACTAGTGACAACTGTCCAACTCCTTTGACTAGGACTTGACCCTAAATCAGAAATCTTTATTGCTACTTGACCTAGCTTCTCACCTGGCTGGTCTTGACACAAGACTCAGAAGCACTGCTCAAGATCTTTAATAAGGCTACAAGGAAACTATGGAGAATAACTGATTGCCTGCTGCTAGTGAGAATGCACACATTACCTTTAATACCCACTGTAGTATAAATATTATTTTTCCTTTTGCCCTTCCATGAATAGATAATCTTTATTCAGTGTTTGGCAACTTTGAGATCAGGTAGTTATTACATCTTTACAAAATTGTCATCTCTGGCTTAAGAATAATTTATTATATATATTAAAAACCAAGGCTGCAAAAAGTCATGGACAGAGAGATAGGTAGCTTGAAATGAATCAAAATATCCAGCTGCCTAATTGTCATGGCAGAGTTGCAATAAGGAAGGAAGAAGAAAAGTATAATTGTTGAGGTGTGCAGGAAATGCAGCAACTCTCCTGAAAACAAATACAGCCAGTGTCCAAAAAGTGAAAGCTAAAAAAAGGGACGGTTAGCAAAGGATGCTAGGAATAACAATAACTATAATTTAGGTAAATTGGGGAGGGGAAGAGAAGGAAAAGAAAAAGAATTCCTGCACGAACTGCTTACTTACAAGAAAAACGCTAACTGGAAACAAAAGGCAGTGGTTTGCTCTGTCAGTGCCATCTACATACTGGATCCAAACTTTGGGTTGTACCATGGGAGTGCTATAGATTCCAGGCGTTGATTACAGTCTCAGCTATGCATCCTGAAATCAATGATTCAATGGGTGTTCCTTTGATTTGTTGATACATTTGTCTATTAAACTGAAAGTTTATCAATTGTATTAAAAGTTGAAAAGATCCATGATTCTTTGTGTATTTGGTTAGGTCAGATGTGCTATGTATTGTGTCAGGTGTGTACACAGTACACCCAACCTAACCATATACACCAAGATTGAAATACCCAGAATCATAGACCCTATCCATTTTTTCCTGACTGCATATTTTCAATTTACTCTAAGATAAGCTGTATAAGAGCACCAACACAGATAAACAACCTAAGAGTAAACAACAGCCTGATCAAGAAACCACCAAGACAACTCCCATGAGCACTGACAGAGCAAGCCATTAGAGTATAATAAAATGTCTACAAGAAAACGAAAGTCAGAGGACATCAAGAACCCTACATGTGACTCTGTTTAATACATTATTTTACTCATTGTGATTCTCTTCTCCTAATACTAATAACAAAGTAACACCCTTTCCAAAAGAAGTCACATTATGGTAGACAATTGATACATTTTTTTAGCAACACTAGAAGATAGCTAAAAGAATAGAGTAGGTAATATAGTATTCTGAGTAAGGGACAATATTTCTGAGCAATGGATAATATTTTTAATCTCCTCTGCTTCTTGTTTTTTTAAATACTTGGTCTAGTTATGGTCTGCCAGTAGTTATGTTAAATATAATAACAATAATTTAGAAAGGCAAATTACACCAGAAGTCCATTTCCGTCTAGAGTCTATCAGTTGTAGGCATTCCATACCTGACTTACGTTCCAATGCATTCCATATTCAAAAGCAACCTTTACCTTGATGCCCATACATTTGAAAGACACCAGATTTGAGGAAAAGCACCATGTTAATTGTTCATACTAAATGGGTGACTGCAATCTTACTGCCTTCATCACCACCATGACCCAAATGTCAACCCTGGGCTACAGATATTCTCAGTACAGTCACAGGTTGTAATTAAATACATGTCATTATTATATAAATAGATTAACTAAAATGATTCCTTTATTCTAATGAAGTAGAGATGAAACCTTCATTCATGTTGTCAAAACTTGAATTATTCTGTCCAATCAGAGATGATATTCAGCAGGTTCTGACCATTTCTGGAGAACCAGTCGCGGAAATTTTGAGTAGTTTAGAGAACCAGCAAATACCACCTCTAACTGGCCCTACCCCCATCAATTCTCTGCCTCCTGAGTCCCAGCTGATCAGCTGGGTTTTCTTTTGTTGCCCTGCACAGGAGAACGGAGCTGGAAAGCAGGTTAGTGGGGTGGGGAGGGAATGGGATTTTGCAGTATCCTTCCCCTGCCATGCCCACCAAGCCACGCCTACGAAGCCACACCCATAGAACCGGTAGCAAAAAGAAATTCAATCCCACCACTAGTCCACATGCTGTTAGTCTTTATTCTTTCTTTAATGTTAAGGTATATCCACTTAAGTCAAGTATTCAGTGAGTAAATTATTGGGAGAATGGGGGCACATGCAGAGATAGATGCAATCAGCTGCTGGAAAAAAATCATCTGAAGCAGCTTCTGCTGAGAACTTCACATGTATGAAGTAGATCCCCAAACATACTGTCAGAACTGGAACACTTACATATGTGCTTTTGCAAGGTAAATCAGCTGACCGTTTATTTATTTATTAAATGTATATGGCACCCATCTTAGTCTAAAAGGCAACTTTGGACAGCTAACTGCTTCCAGAAGGTCTGGCTCTACTACGTACAGAGATTTCACTCATCTCCTTACTCAGAAGACAGAGAAAGAAAGATTGATCATAATTCCTTCATCCTGGTATTATTTTTGACTACTGAAACACAACTATAATTAACAAAAGTTTTTTTCATTAGCTTCTGAGGAGCTGTTTGATAAACCTACACTAATTTAAATTTAGTACAAACTTACATTTTAAAGCTGGATAGAATCTCAAAATCATTTTGGCCAACCCTTGAATTCATAAAAACTATGATTCAGGGCAATGAATTATATGCACAAATTAATATATTACATCTGCCAAGGAATTTTTTGGGGAAAAGATTCATTTAACAATTCCAATTTGATTTGCAGTAACTCCCTAAAATCTCAAAAATAAATATATCTTACATTGCATTGCACTGAAGATGTCAAGGACTGAACTTGGAACTATCTCATTTTCTGCACTGTATACAATGATGCATTCACAAAAGAAAATACCGGTAGCAATGTATGTATATATGTGGTAATTCACAAGAAGCAATGAAAAAGAGTGAAATGGCAAAGAGTTTTAATTTTAATCAAAAACATTCTCTATAGTTCTATGCTTATTAAAAACAGACATACAAGACCAAAAAAATACACATTCTATTGCCCCAATGCAACTGAAAATCAGATCTGAGAATACCTGTAGAAGCCTGTAATAAAATAAAATGATTTAAAGCTATTAAAACTATTCCCAAGTAAATGAAGGAAGAAAGCCAATAAATAATGACTGGTTTGAATATAGCTCTTAAAGTTGTGGTTTCTTTGTAAAGATTGTTTATACAGCACTAAAAAGAGTTGTCCAATTGACTGGAAAGGTAATGTTTTTATTCTCTCTGGCGCATTTCTATTGCCCTTTAGTATTTAAGTTTTAGAAATTCCCAATCCTGAACATCTATTCTGTCTATAATACTTCTCTAAGATTGTTGAAATAAGGTATCCAGAAGTTTTGTGTGCATGTTTAGCTATGACCCAGCTTCTTTTCCAGTAGTAGCTTCAACTTATTCTTTATTTTATGTGATTTTTTTTAATTGAAGAATTTGAGATATTAATATCTTTCAGATAGTTAGAAAAACAACATACTGTAGGCAGGTAATTTCAATTGTTGTGGGTGAACAATCCAGTCTTTTTTCCAAAATTTTGAATATATGCACATATTAAAATCAAATTTGATCAGAAGCTTGAGTGAGGTGCCATTTCTTCCAGAAACCAAAAAGACAAATGTAGAAGAATGGATTTTAAATTTATGCTGTCCAGAAATCTGTGATGAAAAAATCCCCGGAATTATCTTGAGTAAAGTTATATATTTAATTTATGTATAACTCCAGAAAAAAATGGCTCTTAAAGTTCTTTTTCATTTGTAGCCACAAATATAACCTGGAAAATGCTTCTCATAAAGTGAACAGTTTTTCTCTGGTAAACAATAATATTGTAGAGCAGAAGACTTCAACCCCAAGTAATTAGAATATAAAAAAGAGTGGATAATGCTAAAGTCCTCTTTTAGAAAAGCAGGAAGTATACTATGACCTAAACTGCTAGGCATTTGGTTTAGATATCAGATACATATATCTCTAATATGTCCTTCCATAAAATTGTAAATGTTTTAAAGGGTATACATGATCATTGTTCCAAGGATTGGATAGAACATACAGTATAGCAAAGCCTTATTGAACAAATAATAATTGGATTTATATTCATCTGACCACCATGTTGAAAGATGTGGGATTGTTTTATCACACAAGCATGCTTCACAACACCTTACTTCAAACATAAAGTACATCTGAAGTAGAACATTGATTTATTGCAAAGGATTCACGTAACACAGAGAATTCCCCCACCTATCTATTCCCCCTATTGTGCCATTTTGGCTAGCCTGCAACCTAGATTATGGGGTAGCAAGCAGCCCCAGAACTATGTGGCTCTGTGACTGCTTGCCATGCTATAGCTTAGACACCTCTTGGGATACTATGCTCTGGGGCTGTAAGAAGCAAAACAAAGCTGCAGTCACCCCACCCCTCCCTCAGGTTTTAGGAATTGTTGACTAAGTTATTGGAAATATTCTTATATATACACAGTTGTCCATCACAAATGTGACTTGATTTGCTCCTAATCTTCCCTTGTATAAGAAGGCCTTTGCACATACAACCCTTTTAATTAAATGGTAATAACTCAGTTTCTTCAAAAGAGAAGTATATACACAAAGCATTTTGGTCCAGTGAATGAAAACTCTTCTTACACACAGGGGTGGGCTTCAAAAGGTTTAGCAACTGGTTATCTACCCGGTTGCTGGGTGGGCATGGCCATGGTGGGTGTGGCATAGTTAGCCTCCTGCATCATAGTGGTGGGGGGCGTTTGCACCCTCCCCAGGCTCCAGAGGCATTCCTTGAACCTCCAGGAGGCCCATTTTTTACCCTCCCTGAGCCTCCACATGGGCCCTGCACTTACCTGGGATCCAAACCAGGCTGCCTGGAGACTCCTGGGAGGGGCAGGGAAGGGTAGGCAGGTCCAGCCAGTTATTGCAACTACCAGTTCAGCAAACCAGATGTAAAATTAACATCTAGTTCACCTGAACCCGTGCGAACCAGTAGCCGCCCACTCCTGCCTACACACCTGCTTCCTCCTTCTGCTTTGGCCAGATTCATCCTTTCAGAATGTGGTATTTGACTGTCTGGTTCATAGTCACAGATTAGGATCCCATTTACTTAAATTTCTTTATTGGATAAAGTAAAATAAAAGATCAAATATTGGGAAGCAGAAAGATGGAGGCCTCCTCTGAAGCTTACTCCATAACCAGTGGTCTCTATCCAGGGGTGATTTTTTCAGTCACTTATTACATCTTCATTCCAAATCTGGATGATATAGAGATTTTGCCTAACCATAATGTGAACAAAGGATGGCAAGGAAAAAAATAAGTACATTGTGCTGGGTCATGATTTGTTTTAATTATAGTTTGTTTGACACCACTATAGTTTGTTTGGATATAGCTACACTATAAAGCATGATTTATAAACTGAGTTTATAGATTATACTGCACCAAAATCCAAATGATTTCTGAATCCATCTGATGCATAGCTTAGAATTGGGTAAAACACAAGGCACTATGCCACGAAATGCAAAATTCAAATCCACCAATTTTTCTGCAATCATTTGATATCTTTGCTTTTTAAGGGTGACATGGTAGTTGTATTGAATATCCAATAAATGGTCCATTAAAAGAATGCAATACCAGACGTGCTTCTGAATGCATGCAATTCTGGCATTTTTGTAAAAATTAAGTTTCATTTTACATTCTATTTCAGTTCTTCCCTCATAATACTGTTGGTGTAATTCTTCAGTCAAAAAGAATGCAGAAATCACAGGATTGCTTTGCAATTCAAAGCATTAGTATTCCAGAACTCAAACAGAATTGCCATATAGACCTAATATGTTGGGAAACTGAGCAACACATCAAAAATGGGATTTTTACTCTTCCAGGAAATGCTGCCTTCTATTTGGTTAGTTTTTCTTTGTCATGGAAGCAAATAGAAAATTTATAGCACTGTAATAAATTACAAATACAACAATTTAAGGGTGGGGACTTTAAGCACTATTTCTTTATACAGATTAGCTAGCAGTGGCTCACAAGAAGCAAACGAAAGGATTGAAACTACAAACATTATTCTTTTGTAAATGAAATTTCTCCATAGTTATTAAAAGTAGACATGTCAGAATATGGAAAATGCTTCCTATTAATCCACTAATCTAAAAAACACCACAAATCAGGTCTAAGAATACACAAAAAGTTGTCAATCTTGGAAGGAAACTATTTTCCATGATTAATGAGCAAACAGAAGACAAACTATTTCCTGGAGTTCACCTTGTATAATTTTTATCTGTGAAAAGAAGGTTTGGCCAAATAGATAAGAAATGTGGTTTCTCTTCCTCCAAGGGTGCACTGCCATTGTTTATCGGGAACTGCTTTGAATATATTGCTCTGTTGCCCTACGCTGATGTTCATTCTTCCAGCTGCTCTTGTGGAGAGTTCAGGTGCTCCTTTTTGCTTTTCAAATGATGTTTTTTCAACTTTGCCAGAGTAGCCTTCCAATGTGGGTTTGGCTGTTTCTGCCAACACTCTTTTGGCTGCCTGAGGTTCAAGGTAAGTGACAGTCTTTGAATACCTGCCAGAGGCTACCTTTTAAAAGCAGGGTCATGTTGCATGTTGAGGGGGGGTTACTTGCCCCTATAAAGACACATTATCTGATATTCTAATTATTATTTATGTTATTTGATTATTCTTTACGTTGGCACTTCCTGGTCGATATGGAAAAAGTCCCTCTGCCTGTAGGCAAGGGGCTGTCAGTCTGCTTTGATACTATTCCCCTGACACTGGATTTCTGACATTTACATCATGTGATTTTGGACAAGCTCACTCTCTCTGTCTCTGTTTCTTTCTGTCTGTCTGTCGCTCTCCAGAATCCTTGAATGTGTTATATAGTTGATTCTTATCTAGTATTTCTACATAGAAATAGATTTCAAGACTCTATTTTAAAAATAGAAGAGCATGAAAAGGAGTACGAGTCTTTTTATATATAATTATGTAGTTTATTTATTTATTTTGCTTTTATAATATCAGATAGCTACATTAATTCCAAAATAGGTTAAAAGAAGAAATAAAGGAAATACAAAAAATATTCAGCACCATCTAAATAAAATGTCAGGTACTATAAAATCCATCACATATGAGTAAACCAGATTATAATGTATTCTTTTTTATATATATAAAAGTTTTATTTAAGTTTTCACAAAACATACAAATACAAATAAAATATCTTTTTTTGAGAACAGCATGACCCCGGGTTATCACTTCTGCATACAGACATAAACTCAATACATATTTATCTTATACATTCTAATCCATACCTCATAACTATTTTCACAATTTTTTCAATAGCTTTTCCCTTTCTTTACTTCCTATAGCCTTATTTTAAATTATCTCATTCCTTTCTTAATTCAATTACATATCTTTTTCTAATTTTTAAAATCTTTCTAATCAATGTTTTTATACTTTCATCTGTCCTGTTTACAATTTTATATTATCTTTTCTCATAAAACAAATGTTTCCCTGTAATTATTAGACTGGAGTGTAACACCTTTGTATCTTTTTTCAAATCTTGTTTAAAAATTTAAATTACACCTTTACAGTTATAACATTCATTTTTAAACCTCTATTTTATAACACATACCTGTCTTCAATCAAATTCTGCTTGGTACATTCCCTTAAAAATACACACTAAATTCTTAAAAGAAAAAAGTATATATGTATATATATCTGTGTATATATGTATAACAATAGTAAATAGAATAATTATTCTATTCAAGTACAGCTCTGCCATTAATATTAATAACAATATTTTACATTTCTATTTCTTTTAACAAACATTACCTAGTAATATCAGTTATCTTTCACTTTAATCATCTATATTTCATATTTTACTTATTACTGTATTTAAATAAAAAACAAAACAATAGTTATTAACAGTAGTCAATAAAATTATTATTCTTATTCAAGTTCATCTTGTCAACTGATAAAAATCTTCCATGTTTCTTTTCAGTTTTTTTTAACTTTCTTTTTAAATCATTGAGAGCCTTATTCTCTTTACAGACAAATATTCCATTACACATCAATACAAATTTTTCCTATCACTTCCTGCCATCTAAACATATTTTCTAACCCTTTTCTATTTCTAATATAACAATGCTATCCCATGCACCCTTGCAGAATCCTCTCCTTAAGTTAAATTTTAACTATTGTCTCTGTGTCTTTTAAATAGGTTTATACCTTTAATTCTTGTAGGTTTTTCCTGTACCTTTATATCTTGTTTCTGTTGTTTGTAGCTTCTTTTCCTTTCCCTCTTCCCTCTCTTCTTCTCCTTCCCCTTTTTATTCCCTTTTCTATCTGATTCTCCCTTCTGTGATCCTCCCTTCTGCTTCCTGATATTATGATTGCTTTTCAAATTACAAATTATTATTTTTTGGTTGTTGCTTCAGTGCTTAAGTTTTTAATTCCCTTTCCCCACTTTCCCTTTTTCACCCTGCTTAAAGTTGCTTGGTCATTAAGGATGGCTTCTTCTTCATCCCGCCCTTCTTGTTCTGCCAGCGTTTCTTGTTGTTTTTCATAGTTCAAAATCTCCATTTCTAAAAATTGAAATACGAAGCCAAAAGATCCTCTTCTCTCTTGTGCTTCTTCTTTTTGTTCTTTAAGTCCCATTTTTAACTCTTCAAGGAGTGATGCCATTTTTAAAAATTTTAAACAATCCCCAATTGATTTTATTTTGTTTCATTAGAATCCATCATCCAAAATTCCAGGAATCATCCAATAATCCCAAACTGTTTCTTGCTTCTTTTCTCACTTTCTCTTTCCAGGGGCTTTATTGTCTTGTAACAAAGTTTCAACTACAATGTATCTTTTGCAAGCCTTGTTAAAATTCCACTATCGATTTTTTTAAGTTCCAGGTGGTCTCCTCCATTTTCCAGATTCCACCCTCTTTTTTCCTCTTTCCCTCCGTTGCTTTCTTTCTTTTATTAAAGAAAGTTTTTAAATTATCCAAGAATCTTTATCCCTTTGACACTTTATTTTCAGCTAGAAATAGCCTATTAATGTCAAAGTGGATTAGTATCAATTTCTTATTCGAATCTCTTCTTCTTAATGTTCCAAGTCAATTAAAACTGTCAATGTGAGAGGAAAAAAAGTCAATTCCGTTTCCTTTCCCTTTCTTTTTTACCGCTTAAGATCTTTTTTAGGAATAGTATTAGTCTTTAAAGTTCAGGTTCCAGGTACGTTAAATAGATGTTCTCCACTCAACCCGGTCAGTCAAGCTTTCTCCTTTAAACTTCCTCCTGCACAATCTTGTCTGGTCGGGTTCTTTTTTGAGGTGGCCGTTTCTGACCACCGCTGCAACTGCCTTTGGGAAAGGGAGTAATGGCCAGCCGAGGAGGAGAGATGTGGCTCTCCTCAACCCAGCTGACGGCTCCCCCTTCTTCGCCACCTCTACGGGGTGGCCTCAGCCCTGAATCCAGGTAGCTCGGGTGCTCCAGTGGCGGGCATGGATCAAACCACACACGATCATGGATTTCGGGCCTTCGCCGAAGAAGTCCAAAACCAGAAGTCCAGATTATAATGTATTCTTATTATTAAGATAAAGCATAAACTCTCACCAAGTTTGATAAAATTATGGTTCCTATTTCTGAAATTCCCTTAATTGACTTCAACTGTGATTTGTGAGTCAATCCAAGACAATTGTAGAGGTTTTACTCATCCACAACGTAGTTGTTATATTATCTGAAGTTTTCCAGTGTTTCACATTTTTTGGCTGCTATAATTAAACAGATAATCAATTATGTATTCTTAAGTGTACAATCTGGTCTGTAAGTAAGTGTAATAAATCTAACTCTGGAGATCATTCAAATTTAATTTAATTTAATTTAACTTAATAATTGATGGTAATTATCTCTTGAAAAATTGCTGAAAGGTATCATTTTATCACATGACTATCACAACCGAAAGACTGACCCCTTTTTTTTGAACAACCTCTCCAGCATTTGAAAGAATAATGCTGATGTATAGCTACCAACCTAACAGGAGTCAAATATAGGTAGTCCTTGACTTACAACCACAATTGAGCGCACAATTTATGTTGCTAAGTGAAACATTTGTTAAGTGAGCTTTGCCCCATTTTACAACCTTTCTTGCCACCATAGTTAAATAAATCATTACAGTTGTTCAGTTAATAACATGGTTGTTAAGTGACTCTGGCTTCCCCATTGACTTTTCTTGTCATATGAAATCACATGATTTCACATGACTCTGGAATCATCATAAATATGAACCAGTTGTCAAGGATCTGAATTTTGATACATGACCAAAGGGATGCGGCAACATTTGTAAGTTTGAAAAACTGTCATAAGTCACTTTTTTCAGTGCTGTTGTAACTTTGAACAGTCACTAAATAAATTGTTGTAAGTTGAGCGCTATTGGTACTAACAATGTATAATCTTTCACTGCATTTCTCACATTGAAACTGAAGGGAATCTTTCCAAGGTTAGTAAAATGAAGACACAGATTGTTGGGGACCAGAGGTGGTATTCAGCAGGTTCTGCCCAGTTCTGGATAAACGGTAGCAGAAATTTTGCATAGTTCAGAGAACCGGCAAACACCACCCCTGATTGGAGATTTTACAGTATCTTTCCCCTGCCACGCCCACCAAGCCACGCCCACAGAACTGGTAGTAAAATAAATTGAATCCCACCACTGTTGGGACAATATATGCTGACCCTATAAACTGCTCAGAGAGTGCTCTAAAGCACTATGGGGTGATACATAGGTAGTCCTCAATTTACAACAGTTTGTTTAGTGACTGTTCGAAGTTACAATGGGACTGAAAAAAAGTGACTCATAATTTTTTTTCATACTGTTGACCATTTCAGCATCCTGTGATCAAAATTCAGATGCTTGGTGCATATGGTTGGAAAAAATGACAAAGAAACATATAGATTTAAAGCCAGAGATTTTTTTTATTGGGAATCTTACCTGATACATACAATAAAAATTTGAAATATTTGATTGTAAATGTATTAACAGCGGCTAGGATTGTATTTGCTAAAAATTGGAAGAATGAGAAAATACCATCACAGGAAGAAATTATTAAGAAAATATTGGAATGTGCTGAAATGAGTAGATTGACATTTGAAATTAGAGAACAAGAAGATAAACAATTCTATGAAGTTTGGGATCTTTTTTATCAATGGCTAGATAATAAAATATAATAATCTACTAGAATATTTAGAACCTTAGGAATCAATGAATACATATTTCTTTTTTTTATTTGATACTATTTTTATAAAATTCTATTAAGATAGACTTGGTATGACTTTATGATTTGTTATAAAATAAATTAAGTAAACTATAGTTATCTCGTTAAAGTATGAACTAACAAAATTATAGTCAAATGATTGTTTAATAATGATATTAGGTTATATAATTGTTGATTGATAATATGAGCTATTATGTAATATAACTACAATGGAGACTATGAAATGGATGCACAAAAAAATGTGGTAAACCAACCGATACACTGTCTGTAAACTCATGAAGGAAAG